GCTTTAGAGAACCGGAGGGAGTAGTGTTTATTTTCTGGGTTTTAAGCTGAAATGGGCTTGGCCAATGGTAAGGGCGTAAAGCCTAGGAACACTGAGTTTGTGGACAAGGCCATTTAAATGTCGGAATCTTGGGCCGGTGAAGGAGGCTGGTCTGGTTAGGCAAGACTGATATCGAAGAAAATCAGAAGAGACACTTGGCGGGCTAGACAAATTATTACAAGGAGGTCTTTGGACTCTGATTGGGCTGGGCTATTTTACAGCATGTACTAGGCTAGTCAAGGCCCAATCTATATTTATACCTGTATGATCAATTCTTCATTTTCTTCTTCTTTTTGCAGGTATTGAGATATATATATTTTGTCAAATTGTTGCATTTTGAGTGCAAAAATAGCGAAACCAATGCAAATTACATAGACAAAGGAATGTCATCCAGATAGGAAGTTTATTTTCCGGCAAAAAAAACTATCTATTTTGTTCGTTTTTTTCACTCAAGTGAGTCACGTTACTCTTCAGTTGTAGACGAAGAATGTCCTCCGATGCATACGATTAATTAACCGGGCCATACCATACATCTTTGTTTCCCTGCAAAGTAGGCTGCGCTTACACATCACACCAGATGGCATGGTAGTACTACTTTTTTTTCTTTTTTTCTTTTTTTGAAACATGGAAGCGATCTCCATTGCTCAAACCCTGACACCAAATCTTTGGTCACCAGTACGCAAATACAAGGTGGAATACTGTCCTGGATCGGATCAGTACCCGGACTCAACTTTGCCCCAAGGGCAGCTAAGCTGTGTGCGACAAGTTGTAAGCTACCACTCGACAAGTGAAGTTACAAGAAAGACTTTCCTTCAGCTCCCAGAGCAGACCACTCGCCGAGCATCGATCAAACTCCGGAGAATTGGCTGCTTGAACCACCATCATGGCATCAGTCTCCAAGACCACCTTCTGGATCCCCAGCTGCTCGGTCGCCCTCTAAAGCTTGCAGGCAAGCAATAATCTCCGCATGGGACGCCTCTACCACATTCCCCAGCCTGCCATAGCCTGAATAGATAACCACACTGTCTCCTCCTCTGATGACATATCCCCGTCCACCCGATCGATCCTCCTGTTTAAATGCACCATCACAATTGATCTTAACATAGCCATCCGGAGGCCTCGTTCAGACAGATTTTTGTCGACTTGGGACAGACTCCACCGTCGCTTGTTTCAGTGACAACCATTCTTCAGCATAACAGTTTATCAGTTGTGCTAAACTGCTAACTGTCCCTGTGCCTTCAGCGTTTCGCCTTCTCGAACCCTGCATCTTTTGGACCACCAGAGATACATGAACATGATCACTTTGCATTGCACCTCCTCTTTCAGCTTCAGCACCTCCATGACTAAATCTTTGGTTGAAGCAGCCCACGCTAAACAAGACCTCACTTGTTCCAGATGCAACTCTAACCACACCCCTTTAACATTCTTGCATTTAAAAAACAGGTGACCACCATCTTCATCAAATCTACCACACATTACACAGCTAGGATCCAGCTTCATGCCTCTGCGTTTCAGATTAACCCGCATAGCCAAACTGTTGTGACCCACTCTCCACATGAAATGCAACATCTTACAAAGTCGTTTCCAGCTGTGATCTCCATCTCTTCTATCACTGGAAGAGGACGATCTCCAGCCATTCTTTCTAGTTATTCATGATCTCAAATCTGAAGGACCTATAGATAATAGATATAACTAATTTCATCAGTCCCTATCAGGGCTTTTTAGTGAAAGCATATGTTGCATAGCTAAAGCATATACTGGAATAAATAAAGAACCTTCAAGTTGAGCAATCACGTGGTTCTTTTGGCTGACTATCCTCTAAATGCAAATATTATCATGTGTGACAAAAAAAGAAACTAGTGAACCATGAAAACCTCAATTATTTGCAGCAAAACTAGCCTGGCCACAAAATTCTTATGTGTGAGCGGAAAACTTCAATTATCTGTGATAAAGCAAATAATTAGGTTCCTGTCACGATCCTTGAGGTAACTACCGGCGTACACGCACGGCGGGGCGAGATCGGCGGCGCCGTCTCTGGAGAAGAACGGAGAAGAGAGAAATAGAAGATTTGGAGGAGATTAGTTCATTTCATTATCGATACCGTCTTCAGAGCAGCCAAAGGGTATATATGGCTTCATACATGGGCCAAGCCCAACACAATGAAAGGCACGCAGACCTAAACCATGACCCACTCCCTAATACTATTACAGGCCCATGTGCTAGGTCATGACATTCTCCCCTGCACAAGCAACAGCTTGCCCTCAAGCTGTGGATGTTTCAATCACCACATAAGCATTGCCATTGTTTTGTATAACAGAGGTTTGACATTGATTTACTTTGTTGAGACCAAAGCCGTCAAGGGTCTGCAATCATCAGGCGACAGAATTGGAGCTCCAGGGTGGTACAACCAGCCATTATCTTGTAGGTGATGACATGCAGACTGCTGAAGTGTTGACTTGAAGATGCACTAAAAAGAATGAGAGGAACCCTTGGTAGCATAAATGGAATAGCCTTCAAGGATCTTCCACCATCAGATTATAGAATTGAAGTGCCAGCATGCTAGAATTAGTCAGTGTCTTGTACATGACTTCCATTGTTTTCGAGTTCAGACTTGGATATGCTTGAAACTGAATGACAGGAACCATTGGCAGAACAACTGTAGAAGCAAAACACTCACTATATATAGCTTCCCATGCTCCGAGAAAATAAGATTGGTCTGCTTCATTGCCATGAAAATCAGTCCAAACCAAAGACTATCAAATGTAGTAGCAGCCCCACAGAAATTGTCACTTGAGGACCGGGCAAAATAATCATGTCATGTTCCAACTCCTCATTATAACACCAGGCAAGCAAAATTGCTGAGGCAAGTGGAAGTAGCACTGGCCTTCCAGAATAGAGTAGTCCATAGTGTTGAGTAGGAATGCACAGGTAGAGTATTTGCATGTTGGAACTTATCTGGATAACATATGGTTCAGTCCAAACAAGAAGTAGCTTCCCTGCACTGGAACATGGCTTGCAGCATGGGAGATGAAGAAGCTCAAGAACTGGCGCAAATATCAACCACTGGTGAAAGACACTTCCATTGTTGCTGTTGTTATAATTCACAGGTGATAGTATCATGCAGGTAGCCGCTGAGAATTGTAGCATCACAGAGTTTCCTCCCACACATTTTGTTTCACTCAAAGATAACCAGCTGTGGTATGGCTGCATCAGTATGGAATAAAGCTCAGAAGCACACAGGTGGTTATTGCCACAGCCATTGAAGGCCAAAACAGCATTGAGACCAATCAGGTATATGGGAAAAGATGCATCTGCAGGATTGTGTGAATGGTGCCACTTCTAGACTAGCCAAATATTGCGCAGCAGTGTTTCACCCCCAAGTAAATGTCCCAATGCTGGTACAAAAACCAAAATAACAGGGCCACCCCAAACCACACAACAGTAGCAACTCCCATGCCTCATACAGTTGGCAGCCCTCCTCTCTTCAGTTGTGCTCCAAGTAATAATTAGATCCCCATCCAAGAGAAGGAAATCATTCCATTTTATAGTACCATCACACTTTTGCTGCCATCTCGGAACTGAAATCAGAAAAAGTTTCATTGAAACAACTGAAATCACATGCTGCACAGGCAGTGGCCACAAGAACACCTGGACCACACTTTCGCTACCATTGGCCAGTACATGACCTTGACATGGCCGTGGTGGCTTCCATAACTGACCAAAGCACCACTGACTAGAATGTAGAAATAGAGAAGCATACTGACTGAGACTGAATAGCAGCTCATGACTGTGCTTGTATGATATCACAATTTTCAGTTGATATAAACCTTGGCCAGTGTGGGAGCACAAGGTTGGCAATAGATTTATGAAGTCCAGAGCCTTACCACTCACTTCTTGCCACACTGATGATGTTTGTACTGCTGTTAAGGAAATAGCAAGCACCAATGCTGATGAATTTTGCAAATGCAGAGCAGCTGCAGACTCACAGAAAGATGGCCATGGTGTTGGCTTGAGTGGACCATCAGAACCCATCAGGTCAAACAGCAGAGGTGGTGGCCATGGCTGCATAATAGCACATCTAGCTGACCATTGCTAAAGGGTTGCCATGACTGTGAGCACAACACGCAGGTGTCTGTGAGCAAAGAGTTTATGTTTTTCAGAGGAGGTGTCCTGATCCTGAGGCTGTAGGCAATATAGGGTATGTTACTGATGATGTATACCAGAGATAACCATGGGGGCTTCCAATGCACTGGCTGATGGTAGCAGGTGAATAACAGACAGTACAACTCTGTGACTGGAATAGCAATATGCAACTGAATCAACCCAATGGCCTCCATTTTGATAGAATCAACTTGCCCTGCGCTTGCAAGTAACTGAAGACAATCTGCACAGCATTCCCACCATGACTCGCAATGGAGAGGCCAGACTAGGAGCTTATGCACTGCAGCTAAACTGAACCCATATCACTATGCTTGAATGTGGACAGACAAGTGCCACTATGAGACTGCCCTGATGTCCGTGCCAATTAGGCCATGGTTTCAACTCAATCTGGAAGGTTAGTGAGTGGATTCCCAACACGAAATTTGAGATAACTGCTTGCAGTAGTGTACAAGGGAGGATGACAGTAAATATGAATTCGCCCTTGCTGCTCTTGCCACGGTCAAACACACAGGAACCAGTAGAACACACTAGCAGCGAAGGGCAGCAGGTCGTGAAGGAAGGTAGCCATAATACCTCTGAAGTTTGCCCAGGCACTTTCTCAATCACCTCAAGGACCTCAGGAACATTGGAGCAAATCCCGAACATAGAAATACCCTTCGAGCGAGTAGTGCAAACGATGGTGGTGTTGCTGCTCCCAGGCATAAGCATGTTGGTGTCGCGGCGGAAGCAATCCGTCGAACACCTGGTGGACAGGGCGACGGTAGGGTTGTCCTCTGCACCTGGCAGAGTTTAGTTTGGGGATGGGTGTCGAAGCTATAGTCAGAGCAGTTGGTGTCGGCCTGGAGGTCGGTGCAGCGGTGGGCTCGGTCGGTGAAGTGGTAGGAGCCATGTACGCCGGTGAGGTAGATGATGCCGCGGCGTGCTCGCTGCAGGCAGAGAACAGGACCGAGCAGTTGTCGATGACATCAGGCGGCGTGGTGGTGGTCGGAGAGAACTGTGGCGCACCTATCATGATGTGCGACGCCACAACATGCTTGTTGCAAGCGGTGGGCGTGACCACGCACTCATCGATGGCACTGGGTGTTGTGGCGGCGATGGGTGTAGACACTGCAGTCAATGCTGGGGTGGATGGTGGTGTCGCAACTGCCGACGCAGCAGTCAGAGTCGAGGGCGCCGGTGAAGTGGGCGAAGACGAGGGCACGGACGACCGTGTCGCAGATGCGAGGGTCTTGAGGGTGCTACACATCCCCGCGTTCACTTCCTCCATCATCCGCAGCATGCGAACCATCTTCGCCTCGAGCTCGGCGATGGTGGCAACGGACAGTGTAGATCCGGGTCGGGCCATACTTCCTCGATTGATGGCTCTGATACCAAATGTCACGATCCTTGAGGTAACTACCGGCGTACATGCATGGCGGGGAGAGATCGGCAGCGCCGTCTCTAGAGAAGAACGGAGAAGAGGAGAGAAATAGAAGATTTGGAGGAGATTAGTTCATTTCATTATCGATACCGTCTACAGAGCAGCCAAAGGGTATATATGGCTTCATACATGGGCCAAGCCCAACACAATGAAAGGCACGCAGGCCTAAACCATGACCCACTCCCTAATACTATTACAGGCCCATGTGCTAGGTCATGACAGTTCCTCATCCCAAGATGAACTTACAATTTAACTGGACTCCTAGAAATGGTGGGGAGTAAGGTGTAGGATCTAGATTCGAGTTTTGGAGTTTAGGAGCATAATCCATGTGAAAAGCATCACCCAAGCTGTGCAGGTGGAGAGAAGTGGCAGAAGGCAGGAATCACAAGGAGTCGACGCTGGAAGTTAGCGGTGGACGATATGGGGCGCACAGTTGCAAATACTAGTAAATTATATAGACCAAATATGTCTACGATTTATGCATGAAACAAGTTGCAGGAACACTTGCACGCAGTAAATATGTACTACATAATCGATATTTCCACAACATTCGTCTGTATAAAATCTTAAAATACATTGATCCAGGCATACTAGACTGCTGCAGAATGTTAAAAAAAAGTAAGATTTTCAAGGGTTACTAATTTAAGAAAATTTATCAAATGAAACGAAATTCAGAGCTATGAATAGTCATCCTTGGCTACCAGAGCCAAACCCTCCCTCCTATCATTGTTAGAATACAAATAATGCAGACTACAAGCACCTTAGAATTCCAAATAAACATTAGGTTCCAAGTATTCAAGCCATATTCAAAGATCCTATAGTATCCTAGATCGCCTGCACAAACTGCACCAAATTTGTAAAAAAACGAATCACACCAAATGCTGACTGTACCTGATTGTCCATACTAAGAGGGAAGCAATCCAACCTGATTGTATTCTACCGCAATTTGTGTTTTGAATGCATTTTTGTTACCACTCCCAGCATGCAGTACCTACACAGTGCAGACCAACACAAAACATATCAAGATCTGGGATATCAGAAAGAAAACTACTATTCAAATCAGCATCAGAGACTAGTAATGTCGAAAGCGTGGAATGCCGAAATTGATCAATATATGTGACATGCTTGGACAACACTTCCATACTAAAATTGATCACTTAGCAATAGGTACAGAGAAGATCATATCCTTCTCTGAAAATAAGAAATCAATTACACTGACAATACAATAAGGCCATACACTAGCTAATGTCCAAAGATAGTCAACACAGGAGACTAGTTGGAACTTGGGTGTTGGACTTGGACATTACCAGAATAGAATATCAGAGGACACCAAAGATATTTATTTTTCATAATTTAAAGTTACTAGCCAAGTAGCCATTCAATAAAGAACCAGACACGTTCACAAACCAATATATATTCAGTTTTGCTAGCTGCCTGAACTTTATTGAAAAAACATTTATATTACACAGAGCATAGCAGGCAGGCTTCGCAACCTGGGACCTTCTTTTTCTTACCTTTTGCTTGTAACTTGATTTGCTTCCCATTAATCTCCAAGGTTGACACATCGACAACCTTTATGGAGCCTTTGAGTGGACCGTGCGTTGAATCATACTTGAACATATAAGCCTGAAACAGGACACATGTAATGAGGTTGATTACAGCTACAGTTTAGATAAGTCCCTTTTTTGTGATTATGTGTATATAAGATTAAATTCAGTGGATCAGAAAGGAAATGCAATATACAACAGGACAACTGACATTAAGAAAAGTTTTGTAATAAATATTTTGGTAATCATTCCTAACAGAGAAATACAAACTCAGCATTGTAGAAAGCAAGATACACTTCAAACATGTAATGAAAATAATTCCAAATTACATTGCTTTCAAGATTAATGATCGTTAACAGACACAACTTCAATGTCATCTCTACTATTTGTACAATTAAGAAGATATGCAGTCATCCTTTCAACATGTACACAAAGATCAAACCTGAGCAGCATTGTAAGCATTCGTGGTCCTCACTACAGCACCCTTCCTCTCTGCACCTTACTTGAACTCTGCAAGGTGCCTGCCAAATCATCATGAGGAGAAATCAGATACCAAGATATATGTGCAGTAGGGGATAAAAAAAATCCATGGATCACAAATTCATATCCTTCAAGCTTCTAGTATAAGAGACAGCACAACGCAGCATCATGTATCATATAGACAAATTGTGATGCCCCAAATCATAACTCCCAAGGTCCATATAACAAAGGCCCCAAACCAAATCGTGCTGCCCCACAAATATCTAGCAATAAATAAGGACTCATAGATCACTGGGAAATGTACACATTTTTTAATGATAGCATGTAATACATAAATGATACCTGCTGATTAGAGACCTTTGGGAGAACAATCTACAAGTATTGGCATTCATCCACTTAAGAGGTAACAAGGAAATGGAGTGAGCCAGTCGATTAATGAGTTCATAAAAATTACTCATTATAGTTGGATGGGGCCTGTGAATTGAACTCATCAACAGAAAAAAAAAAATCATGGCAATGCAAACACCTAAACAAACAACTTTTTGAACCCTATATATGCAGATAGTTTCAGATCAGAGACAGCTAAAACTACTTATATTAGGCAAATTTTGCATAACTGCATTGCACAAACATATGCGGAACTCTAATTGATTATAACAGCTGTTCCGGACCCTATCGATTCTGTTCGTCAACACTTGTCATCAAGTCAGAAACAGTTTCATCTTCAACACTTGTCATCAAGTCAGAAGCCTACTTGAGTTGCATAACAGAGTGTTGTACTAAAAATAACAATGCAAAATCTGCTTGAGTTGCAAACATGTTATCTCTATAATTCACTAAACTTGAGCTGGAAAACATGCTTCTTCTATCTCATCTCATAAAACAGATTTGTTCCCAAAAACAGGTGTCAAAGCCCAATGTGGCCAATATTATGCCCAACATGAACATGTTAGTGCAAGGAAGAATCCATTCAGGGACTCACCACGGCATGCTCTGCCATGTCTCCCAACTAAACACGGATCATTTTTGTCTAAAAGGGAGATTTACTGGACATCGAAACTGAATGGGAGATTGGAAACTGAAGGGTATCCAGAGATAAGATACCTGAGGTTGGGGCAAGAGGCGCAGCGAACTGACTGGAGGCACGCAGCCGCCGGCCCTGGCTGCCGGTTGCTATGGAGGTACAGAAGTAACTCGCTATAGTAACTATCCAGACCTCTCGTACCTGAGAATGTGTGTTCAATAAAATAATGAACTATTAGCGACTATAATTGAAATATCATGGTTTACTTACCTAATAAAGTCAGATGCAAGATGGAATTATAGAACAAAGAAAGGACACCAATCCTAGTCATGATTCGTACTCCTCATGTAAAGGATAGGCTAAATCCTTTCTGTATCTACAATTACTTGCAGCAGCAGTCGATTATACAGGATACATTGAACAGTGCCTGTGAATCGTCAAATGGAAAGAGGACTTATTAATGAGACAAAACTACATGGAACATGGGAGCAAGGATGAAAAAAAAAAGGTTCCCTTGCAGTTGAAGGTGTCACATATGACTATTGCACATTACTGAATATTTAGTCTAAAAGTAGATCCAGGCTTCTTAGAAGTGCAGTGATTTAATATAAGAGACTAAATAGTACTCCACTGAATTACTGGATTCCAAGGCACTCGATGGTGATATTTTCGAAGTCCATATCTGAACTTATCTAGTTGCAGTTCTTTTACAGTGAAAAGCTTATCGCAACTAAACTCAAGCAGGACTGCACAAGCGCATGAACTACAAAGTATATTGGTTTGGATTAAAAACTACAGTAGCTTAGATTATTACCTATCATTGTCCACTTCAACATAGAAGCTTTTTTTTATATATATATTGGTTTGGATTATAATCCCTTCTGGTATTCCTAATCTAAATGATTAGAAGTATTGTCGAACCGAGGATTAACTTCTGAAAGGATAAGTTAACAGCAAATGGAACGATTTAGTTGCTAGTTGCCACACACCTCATCCCAAAATCCCAATTGGCGGCAGTTGTTGCTGCTAACGTATTCCAAAATCTACACCAAGAAACAAGGCGAGCAGTTGTTGTTGCTAGCTCACTTTTCTATCATCAAAAGCAATCAGATTCCTGCAGACACAAGAGCAAGTGAAGGGACAGACCCTACCTTATCGTCGTGGTGCGCGAGAAGCTGAGTGAGCTGCTCCACAGCGCCGGCGGCCATCTCGGCGCGCGCGCCATCTTCCACGCCGCACGGCGATGACGGATACTCGCCAAGCCCCACGAGCAGCGCACGCACCAACACGAGGGTGAGGGCAGAGCGCGACGGCAAGGGCCCTCGCTGCAGTCCTCGCCGAGCCCAACCACCAGCGCACGCACCGAGCGGGACTGCAAGGGCGATTGGGAGCGGGGCGGCGCGGCTTCGCCGGCGCGTCCTCGCTCCTCGCGTCCGCGGCGGAGGTGGCGAACGGGAGGGCGAGGGAGAAGGTGAGGAGGAGGAGGAGAGGCGGGCGACGGCACGTCGTCGCTCGTCAAGTCCGCGGCGGCGGCGGGGCGAGACGGGAGATCAATGGAGCAGGCGAGGAGGAGGCGGGCGCCGGAGCATCCTCGCTCCTCGCGTCCGCGGTGGCGGCGAAGGCAAGGGGGCAGGCGAGGAGGAGACGGAGAGGCGTCCACGGCTTTGGGGCGAGGGAGCAGGCCTTGAGACTCGAGTGGCGAGGTCGAGGTGTCTTGGTGGACGATTGCAGTCCTCTGGGCGCTGCACTTTTTCTTGGCTGCGGCTGCAGCAGTGCAGCTTCTTCGATTCTCGGCGACTACTGTGCGAGACCGATCTTTTTAACATAATTAATCCATGATTTAACAATAAAGTGCTACAGTAATACATATGCTAATAACAAATTAATTAGACTTAATAAATTCGTATCGTGGTTTACCGACGGATTCTGTAATTTATTTTTTATTAGCCGAACACCCCATACGATACCCGTGTAACACCCAATATGGCATCCTAAAATTTTAGAGTATGAAACTAAACGAGGCCTGAGTACAGTGAACTGTATAGTTATAGAGCTGCAGCCACAGGGTGTAGCTGAACACACCTAGAGAAAGGGCGACCATCAGGCAACTACTCCTACTCGGGGCTTGCAAGCCTGCAGCCGAACATTGGCGCGTGAGGTTGCCAAGAAGGAAGAGGCGTCTAGCCGACAAATGGTGTCAAGTATTTGAGTCTGCAGTGCAAGTCAGTCTGGGCATTCGGTTAATCAAAACCGATGGGTTTGGTTCTTCGGTTGTTCAGCTAATTCGGTTACATGAGAAGAAGGGACCGATCGGTTACTTTAAAAATACGGAACCGAGGAATTTTAGTTTCGGTTAATTTGGTTTGGTTTCGGTTCTAACCGATGGAACCGATTTTTGCAGGAACCAAGAAACAATACATTCAATTGCAAATTTCGACAGCATTTTGCCTGATTTTTATGCAGTCCAAATGGACAATTTAAATAGCAATGCAGCATAAAACAACAGTACAACACATATATGTTATTGTTCTCTCAAATATTCAAGCATAGAGCAATATTCAAGCTTGCAGTAAAAAAACAAGAGGTCCAACAGCTTAGTTCAGTTATTTTTGGTCAATTCGGTTAACCGAGTCCCGGAACTGAATTAACCGTAATAATTTCGGTTCCTGGGAACATGGAACCGAACCTAGAACCTTAAATGCAAGCATGAAGGCCTCCAGTTACCAGTTTCCTGTTGAATGTAGGAAGTTTGCTCTGCAACACCACCATCTGAGTGGTGTCTTGTACAAAATTCGAACATGTAAAACGATCAAGCGGGCCGCTTTGGGCCAGGAAATAACAAATCAGGTGGGGTTTATTCCCCCGGTTGACCTTCAAACAATGTTTCTTTTCTGAACTTTGTGTCTTGGTAAGATCATTGCTATGTTTCTTCCTGCGTAAGATGGCGCAACAAATAGGCGGAGTGTTTTTTTATCGTCGAAGAAGTACATTCCCTGTGTAGACTCCTATTTTGGTTTAGTTTTGTGTACTACCAGGAGAATGAGAAAGATATGATGGGAAATGGAAATTATGCTTGAATGGATGTGTATGGGCCATAGCCTTGCCTCATCACATGAATTGCCTTTGAACAATTTTCCTGCGAGTGGATGGCTGACTTTCACAAGTGAGAGTTAGCAGTCTAAAACACACACTATGTGACAGTGTTCTCTGTAGCCTGAAGGGAAGGTGGATTGCATGCTTTCCGCCTGTTCGGTAGGCTGGCTGGGCTGGCTGGTGCTAGGCTTATCAGCCTAGCCGTTCGGCAGCCCAGCCCTAGCCGAACGGCTGGTGTTATAAGCCGCAGCGTGCGTCGCCGTCTCTCATTTTATCCCATTTCCTGTCTCCCGTCGGGGGCTAGGGTTCCTCGCACAAGCGCCGCTCATCGCCGTCTCTCCGCGCGTTTCCCGACGGTGGTCTGCGCCGCGTCGTCAGGCCCTGTCGGTGGCCACCGGAGCCGGGTCGCGTCGCCGGGCCCCGTCGGTGACCCCGCCTCCATCGACGGCGCCTTCGCCCAGCAAGGTAAACCTCGAATCCCACGCCTCCGTCCTCTCACCCGGCCGCCTCTGAGCCCCAGCTCGTCGTCTTGTAGTTTGACCCCCGCGCGGCTAGGGTTTCCCCGCACTCTCGCCGGGCCTCGGTGACAGTGCTCTACGCCTCTCTCCCTGGACCCCGCCTTCATCAACGACGACTCTCTCCAGCACGGTAAGCCCCCCGGAACCTGACGCCGCCGCAGTCTCACCCGGACGGATCTGACATCCAACATGTATTCATGTCTTTTCCTGTATGTGTAGGATAGAAATCCCCAAATCTTGTGAGATTGAATGTACGTTTATTTGAGGAAGTTTCTGATATGTGTTAGTACAACTTGTATCAAGTTGAAAAAATTTACAGATTTGCAAATAAATGAAAGGAATTCCGGCTGTGTAATGAATTTGCGTTGTTTTTTTTTGTTTCTATATTACAGATCTGCTCTACCTACAGATCCGCTCTACCAGGTTGTTGTATTCTTAAATTAATTAACCAACTACTAAATGGCTATAGGAAATCATACAGTAAACTACTTAACCCTGTTTGAATTGTGGCTAGCATCAGGGTGGATGATTAATTTTCAGAAAAGACTAACATATCCATGCTCTCTTCGGGCTCATGTTGCCACAGTGCCCACCTCCACCTCCCACTGTTTCCAAGACCAATCCATGTTTTAGCTTACTATACCATATGCCAATCCATGTTTCCAAGGCCAAATCAAGTTGCCACAGTGCCCATCTAAGATTGGTTCTATGTATGTTGGCTCTTTTCACATGATGAGAATGAGAACCACTACAAATCAATCACAGTCTCACCCTGCCACCCACACACTTTGACTGGGATTTTATGGGCACTGCTGGAGTTGGTACAATTGTAATGTTGAGCATTGGGTCTTGTGAGTATATTTCTTCTCGTTGCAGTCCCATACCTTGTAGTTATATAGTTTTTCAGTGATTATTGAGCTAGGAAATTGGACCCAAGCATGTTTTGTAGTAACTCTTGGCCTAGTTGACCTCTACATCAAACTGACATTGTACATGTCATCCTTGTACATATGATGTAGCTGTTTGCTTTGAATCAAAGTATACTAGTAATTGATATATTTAATGCAATGTCAAAGGTAGTATGATTATGCAAGCAAATTATGTATTCCCTTCCTTTCTTTTTTGCTTGTCATCCTACAATGTGCAGCTGAACTTTGCAAACTAAACATGGAAGTATGACTAATGAATTTACAACACTACTGTTCCGGTGGTCAAAATGTGAGACAAGGAATTTCCTGTTGATATTCTTTTTTCAGATTATGTTTAACAGCACATATTTAATGTTCTTCACCACTGCAAATGTTCTTTTTCAGATTATGTTTAACATCTTACAAGTGTGTTCTATGTTTGCACTACAGACATTTCAGGGACGTTTCGTCCGCTGGTGACCAACGCTGCCCAAACTGGCAGCGTCGTCGACTTCGTCTTGCTCTCCACCTACTGGCAGCCATTAAAACCTCCGCTCAAAACGCCGCAAACGGATCCAAAAGGCAAGTTCTCTTTTCCGTCGCCCACTCTCAGCTTTGCGTACTGGAACTACCCTCCGTATAACATAACATATGCATCCATATATGTAATCCCTTCGAATGTCGATCCTTGCATCAGATGAGCCAGGATCGTGCTTGTTAGGATGATAGAACCTGCTCTCTGCTTCTGGACCTAATCATCAAGCAGAAAGACCTCTGTCACTGGAACGCCACTGGTCCAACCTCACTAGGGTGGACCAATGTCGTTCGTGGCTTCCACGAAGTCACGAGGCTCGGGTACAACAAGAAAATGTGCCAGAACAAGTACAACGAGCTGAAACGTTTGTATTTCAAATGACGCAACGGACAGACCCATACTGGCCTAGGATATGACCTTCTCACTAGAGAGGTTACAGCTGACCCCGAGTGGTACAACGCCAGCCCCGGGTACTAACTACGCGCTTTTCCTTGACTTTTTTTTAGTAATTAGGTTCCCACTAACTCAGTACTAACTTCGCCATCACTGTAACATGTGCAGGAAAGTAGCCAACCTGCTAGAGACAAGTTTAGACGCCCCCAATGCTGTGAGCAACTGATCACGGTTTTGGGACGCACCCCACGTGACAGGGGCGAGTTGCTATCGGTGGGGGCCATCAACCTGACAAGTCACTCAGTAGTGGAAGCCCTTGCACTCCTCCATCCTTGTCGGACGAGCCAGTCTTAGCATGTAGTGGTGGTTAGCCCTCGAAGAGAGTCCATAGGGAATATTCTATTAACAGTCCTCGCAGTAAGAAGAGTAGCCAGACTCCATCCGTAGAAGACTGCCTTGAAGACCTGGGCCACATTATCAGGGAGGCTAGGTCCCAAAAGGCCCGTCAAAGCACTAATGCTCAGGAGTTGGCCCAAGTCCATCAGATTCTGTTGCAAGATGGTATCAGCGAGACTGATGTAGTATTTGTGCAAGCCCTAAACCTATGCAACAACAGACTCCGTCGTCAGGCTTTTCTTAATATGAAATCTAAAGAGGGCCAGCTGAACTGGATCAATGTGACGTGGGGGTTCGTGTGCTCCACAAAGTCCCAGTGATCAGCACATTTGTTCGGACTGCGGTTTTTTCTACTGTTTTCTGTTTTCCACCATGTGCATGTTGAGTTCATTCTGTTGGTTGTTTTGTTATGTTCGTTTTGTTTGTTTGAACAAAGACTGTTGCGGAGAACTAATGTACATGTCGTTGTCTCGTGTTTTGAATAAAATATTTGTGTCGTGCTGTGAGCGTTGTAAGACCTTATGCATGTATCACTTTTCTCTTGTTCATTCCTTACATACATTTGTCTAAGGTGGTTGTGCCACCTACCTAGTTCAGGTATCTTGACATGTTCACTTATTAGCAAATGTTTTTTTCCCAATATATGCATTAGCATCTTACTGATTTCTGCCCATTTGCAGGTAGCATAATAAGCAGCACTGACGAGTCATCGTACAGCGACACTTCCAGTGATGGACCGAGCACTGTGACCTTGGCGAAGGCAGCAGTTGTCCTTCTGAGGTTGAAAGGTATTATGTCGCAGCAAATGCCTAAGGTAAATTCTCCTTGTCTCATTCCTAAGCTATCTAGAGCCCAATGGATGCAGCTTACCCTTATCGACCAAACCAAATGTATAGACAATTTGCGCATAACGCGTGATGCCTTCATGCATTTGCATGACACCCTGCTGCCGTTTGGCCTGCCATCAACAGATAAGTGCACCTTGGTAGAAGCTCTAGGCATGTACATCTGGACCTGTGCCCACCAATCTGCAAGTAGAGAGTACAAAGATAGGTTTGAAAGGTCTTTAGATACAGTTAGCAGAAAGATAACAGCAGTTGCAGAGGTCATGTATAGGTGGGCAAATACTGTCCTAGTGCCAGCAGATAGCAACTACGCACGCGTAAGCCACAAACTTGCTGCATATGCACCATGGTTTGATGGATGCATAGGTGATATAGATGGCACGCACATAAAGGTTGAGGTTAACCGTGAAGCAAAGGCTGATTTCTTCAATAGGAAAGGCGAAACAACAATTAATGTTTGTGCCATCGTGGATATGGATGGCCGTTTCACATACGTGGGGGCCGGGAAGGCGGGGGCATGTCATGACATGGCGGTGTTGAAAGACTGTCAGGGCGACGGTTCGTTCCCACATCCCCTAGTAGGTTTGTGATGCCTTGATGTTCACATTCCATATTTGTTTGCTTGTACTAGATGTATTGAAGCATACTTCTGATCAATTTGCTATGGCAACTGATGCCTATATATTGTTTCCTTAAACAATTTGCAATTTGATTTCTCAATATGACAATACAACATATATGAATTCTCAATACAACAGTACTGATTTGTTATGGCAGCTGATACCTACTTATTGTCTCCTTATTAAACAATTTGCAATTTGATTTCTCATTATGACTATGCTAAGGTGGGAATTCCCAAAACAGCAATGTTGATACATTTGTGTTCTCTGTGTCATATTAATTAAGTTTAGAATTACAAATGATTAGATTGTCATGACTGTACCTAGTAAGTGATCTGTTGACAGGGCTAATTGGTGAACTGTTTTCATTTCTTGTAGGCCGATACTACCTGGCGGACGCGGGTTACATGGACATGCCAGGTTACATGACCCCCTTCAGAAACACAAGGTATCATATCAATGATTTTAGGGGCGTAGATTTGCAGCAGTTGCAGAGGGAGGAAAAATTCAACTACAATCATGCGAAGTTGTGAAATGTCATTGAAAGGAGGTTTGGGGGGTTGAAAGAACGTTGGCATATTCTGAACGGGGTGCCGTACTGCAAGAGGATGAAGTAGGCTATGATAATAATTTCATGCTTTGCTTTAGAAAATTATTTGTGGATACATAAGTACGGAGCTGATCCACCTTCGTATGAGCTGCTGGAGTGGGTTGAGCTAAATCGGGGAACCCCAATCTCTGTAGTTAGGGAGTTAATATCTATGGTTGTGTGGAGTGGTGTCTGGTTTAGGAAAGTTGAGATAATGCAGCTGCTTCCGATATATCTACCTGTTGTTTGTAGTACTGAAGTGTGGTAGTTAATTACTCATCAAACATTAGCTCACAGTTAGCAATGTTTATAAACTGTTCAGTAGGTGCTCAGTGCTTAAGTGATGAAACTAAAATCAGTCTATTTTTATGCAGTGAAAGCATTGAATTAGATCAAATCTTCACTAGGCCTGTTGTTAAGTGTTTGTTGGTTCAAACATCTCAGGATATTGTAAGTATGGATTATCTTTGTGCATACTGAGTATATGCTTTCAGGTCAAGATGTTTGCACTTTAGAGCATTTTAGTTTTTGCAACATTGAACATAAGTCTCTTTATTCTCTACAATACTCCAATGTCCCCAGATAATGATAGCACTTGAATCAATGCTGCACCAATACTACTTTCTTGCACTTTGAGTCCATGGCTAATTTGAGTGTAGTTGCTCTTCATCTAACCAAGTGTTCTTGTAAACTTAGGAATCTAAGGTGGAATAAGCTTCAAGATGTGCTTCCACTTGAAATTGGTGAACTGAAGAAACTGACACACTTGTAAGTTCATTTTTAGAATGCACTTAGTTTATGTGGATACATAAATGTTCACTTTTGATTTCTCTAAGTGTTATTGGAAATTTTTAGGTATTAGAGCTTCAATAACTTCAAAGGCGAGATTCCAGTGGAGCTTGCAAACCTGCATTCAGCATGAGCCTGTTGTTGTTGCTGTTGGTTGAACCTGTTGCATTTAGCGTGAGCTTGCAAACCTGCATTCAACATGAACCTGTTGCTGTCGCAAACTGTAAATTGTTGGTTGCACCTGTTGCTGTTGGGTCTAATTTTGAAATCAGCATGAGCTAGAAATGGCTGGTAGTTTGAATTTGAAAATTTAAATCAGCATGAGCTAGAATTGACTGGAAAACACCTGTTCTTGTTGGCGCCATTATTTGAACTTTTGAAAACCATCTGTTGGCTAGAGGCTGAAATTGGCTGGCTGGGCTGGCTGGTCCAGCTCAGCACCAGCCAGCCAATTCAGCCCTGCCGAACAGGCTGTTTGTTTCTCTGTTTTGCTTGCTAATAATGTCAATCCGGACGCCTAGCTGGTTGTTCTCATCAGTCCTTGCCTCTACAATGCGGTGAGCAATGTCGTCACAACAGAACAGAACATCTCTGCGTTGGCAGTGCCATCAGTTGCAACCTAGTACCTCTAAATATATTACAGATGAATAATGCATGAGCTCTTTATTTTAAAATGATACAGTGCAGAATGTGAGAGGGTCTATTATGTTTGGTGGATAACTTACTTGAACTGGAAACCATCGCAATTGTAAATGCTGGCATCGGTATCAATTTCCATCTAGAGGGCATGGTTTACCACATCTTTTGCAGGATGGGTATCACCACAAACCTATCGTAATAACTAATAAGCAAGTCATAGTAGCAGTGCATTCAGTCGAAAATAAAGTAATTAGGCATGCTGTAGCTTCTCACTTCTCCTTTGTTGTCCTTGCACTTCATGGCCGAACAGCAGCAACCTCAAGATCATAGGCAAACTCGTCAAATCCATCCAATCAACAAGTAGGGAACAATTCACAAGCTTCTGGATAAGATCTCATGTTCGCGCTTGCAGCTTGCATCATGCGTTCATGCCCTGTTTAGACGTAACGGAAATATATACACTTGTAAAGTGTTTACATTTGTATTTTGATGTGAACAAGAAAACCAATCAATAACTATCCGCTCTTGTAAAATGTTGTTTGGAAGCACAGTATCAGACTACCTCACTGGCTCACTGCCTCGCCGTGCCCGCAGGCAGTGCAGTCGCAGGCAACGTCCAGGACAAGCACCTGCATCTGCATGTCCCACCACGTTCCAGTGCACATAGCAGAATGCTCTTTTTTCAGGTCAGTCTAAAGTTACAAGTTCTGAACACGAAGTTGAAAGAAGAAAAAAAATTGAGCTGCTGCTGACTGCAGTATAATTCAGTGCTCTAAGTTCTTGAGCTAAAAAGGAAATCCCTGCATGATTCTAAGGGACAGTTCCAAATGTTTGAGTGAGTGATAGAATAAGGCAAGGAAAATATAAATATGAGGCACTTGTAAACTTGCAGTGTCATCACAATTCACAAGTTCAGAACAACAAGCTGAAAAAAAGGGTGAACAGTTACTGACTACCCTACATATAGTTCAGAGCTCTGTAGAGATACTAGTTCCAAATATTTTGAGTGAGTAATAGAATCATAAATGCAAATCAAACAAATGGATATCTGAATTAGCATATCATACTACAAACTTAACAGATGTTCAGTTACAAGGCCATAATTAGAATTTGTAATCGATTCATCAATGGTATTAAACTCAAACATATCGTCTTTGTGTATCCATGATCACTTCAGCTAGGGAGTCACTTTGTACTCCTAAGTAGATACTTCAGCATTGCAAGATCTTGACATGGTTTGCCACTAACCTGCAATAGTGCAATGTGGAGTAATAAGATTTGAGTGAGAAGCATTCTTACAAACTACCAAGAAATAATCACTGAAGTTGGTGATGACCTCAGCTTCGATTGGTCTATGGGGATGGGTCACTCCCCGTCCCCGAACTCTGTGGGAAGTTGGTGGGGGAAGGACGCCCAGCTGCAGCAGCAATCCATGCACCGCGTCAGATCAGATGAAAAACTGGGAAACAGAGACAAGAGCAGAGGACCACTCACTGAAGCAAACGTACAAAACCTGCGGCGGGAGGATGACGCCGCAGGCGACGGGCAGGTACATCATGCGGACGGGGTCAACGGGTTTGTGCAACACCTTGTTCACGTCGCCGAGGATGACCGGGCACAGGCAGCGTAGCATGTGGTCCCCTCCTCCGGCAGCCGCCGCGGCGCTGGACGTGCGAAGGAACGCCGCGAGGGCGGAGCAGCATTCGCTGGTGGGCGTCGGCGTCTCCGTCTCGTTCCCCGTCACGAAGTCACCGCAGGCCGTCAGTGGCGCCAGAGGCGCCACGCAGTCGTAGCCGGCGCCGGCGTTGCTGCCGCCGCCCCTGCCCGGAACCGGCAACGGCCGTGGCACGGGCCAGCCGGGGAACGGGCGCGGCGGCTGCGGCTGCGGTGGTCTCGGGCAGGTGCACGGCGGGCACCGCAGGCCGCGGGGAGGCGGCACTGGCGGAGACGGCGCTGGCACCGGCACGCAGACGTCCCCGCTCTCCGTGAGAGACTCTTCGGGGGCGAACGTGTCGTTGCAGTACGGCGGTGGTGGGGGCGGCGGGTGGACGGGCTGCACGGGCGCCGTGGGTGTCTGGGGCGCGTTCCGGTGCCGGAATCCTCGATGCCGCCGGTAGCGCAGGTCGTCGACAGCAGCGTCATCGCCGGCAGCGCCCAGTGGCTGCTGCTGAAGCAGCAGCAGCAGCAGCATTGTTGTGGTCAGAAGCGCAGCGCTAACTCCAACTTTGGCCATAGCGCAGCGGTGAGGTTGCGCCTGCTGTGTTGGATGGCGGTGAGGCTTTGCTGCATCTGCATGTGTGTGTTCTATTCTATATAGCTAGAGATTGAAGACGGAGGCGGTGAGCAGGTGACAAAGAGCACACATGAAGATTACTTACATCCGCTTCGTTGCGTTGTAGGTAGGGGATTGGTAATTCTGTACTAGAGTAGAGTATTGAGAGAGAGATTGCAGAGTTCTAGAAGAGCATGATCAAAAAAAGGTCATTTATGTGCTTTGAGATTGTAGACTGCACGTACATGTTGGTTTGGGGATGAAGAAGGTCCTTTATAAGACGGGCATGCAGGTCCGAGTCCATCCATCCCTGGTCCGTGCATGGCGCGCAATCTTCTCTATCGGATACGTGTCCATCCATCGCGCGCGCAGCTTCACTCCAGCCCAATGGTACAGGCCCACGTGCTTGGCGTCGCTGGGCGGTCTAGGACGATATAGCAGGCCGGGCCCCCAAACATTGCCAAAGAGGGCGTTAGGATCTCATCTCAAGTAAAAGTAAAAGAACGATTAGGTCTAGATCAGTTGGTGAACGATGAAAGCGATGGTATATAAAAGATAGGTAATCCTACTATTAACACGTCCGGAAGGCCGAAGGCCTCACTTGGTCCACTCACTGCCTTATGCGCCGCTCGCCTAAAAAAACAAAATCAACTTCCGCACTCCTCGTTCCGCTCCGCTCCTGCCCTTACCCCTTCCGCGCTCCTCAGCCCCTGCCGCAACGCACCAACGCCCGGTGTCCTCGCCCACCGAGAGCCCCCAACGCTCGCAGATCCGGCGGTCCTCTCCCCCACCCCGGCAAGATCCATAGAGTAGGAGCGAGATCCACTCGCCTCCGGCGAGATCCATGGAGGTGTGCGGCGGTGTTGCAGGGGAGTGGGCATCTCTCCTCCACCCCGCCGCGGCGCCCTCTCTCACCCAGCGACCGAGCTCCTCCCCACCCCGGTGGCCATGGCGCCCCCCGCCCCCCATCCCCACCGTCATTCGCCGAGCCAAGCCAGTCTGATCGGTGGCGGCGTGCTGCTCGTGGCGCCGACTCCGACCCGGCCGGCTAGAATCGACCGGCCTAGGCTTCCCCTCCCCTATGTTGCAAATGTATGTTTCAATCGTTTCAAAGGTATTGTAGTTGTTTCTTATGGATGTTGCAAAAGTAGATCAGGGGATGTTGCACATGTTGCAAGTGTTTCATAAAGCATGTTGCAACCGTTTGTTCAAAATGTTTCATTTGTTTCCAGACGTATGTTGCAATCATTTTTTATCTAGATGTTGCATATGTTTTCACATTTATGTTGCAACAGTATGTTCCAAATGTTTCTAGTCTTATGTTGCAGTAAGTGTTTTTTCATGTTGCAATTGTTTTCTCGGGATGTTGCACATGTTTCACACACATGTTGCAAGCGTATGTCCCTAATGTTTCATCTGTTTCAAATGTATGTTGCATTCGAGTGTTTCATGTTGCAAGTGTAGACTGTCGTCGTTGGTGTCCATGAGGGCGGGTAGGGCCAAGCCGCGGCAACCGACGCGTGGAGGAGGCGCAGGCCGTCGTCGGCGGTGTGGGGAGGAGAGCACAGGCGACGGTGCTATTGTGGAAGAGATGGGCGCCGTCTTGGGTGGAAGAAGGCGGGCGAGTCATCCGAAAGCAGTGTGGGCAGTGGATCTGAAGCGGACGGTTTGGATGAGAGCGCGAGAAACAGAGCTTGCGCGGGCGGCACGCGAATCCGAGCGGACGAGGCGGAGCAGCCGCGGGCGTCCAGACGTCTAGGCGCTAGTGCTGCCGATAAAGATGTGCACATGGATGCAAAGAGGTCGACAATTTTA